TTTGTAATCTAAGAACTACAAATACAGATAGCTGAGATATCATACCCCTAGGACCAAAGATTTGAAACCATGAGAATTCTCTGCTGGTGAGAAGACAATTGGGTACAATTCTTTTGGAAAACAATGGTACATGTTTCAAGAGCCTTGTGTATTGTCCTATCACTTATCTCGATAATTCCATTTCTGAGAGTTTGGATTAAAAACTTAATGTGCAAGGATGTTCATTGCAGCATTGTCTATAATAAGAAAAAACTGGAAGTAACATAAGAGATTAAGAGCAAAGAAATGTCAAGACAAACTATAATATATCCACTTGGTGAAAAAAATAGTGGCTTAAAATAATACTTACAAAAACAATTTTTGAAACATGAGATATATATATATATATATATATAGTCTTAATTCTACCATATGAACACAACTGTGTAAACAAGCCAACAATATGAAAATGACTGAAGATATCTTTGCTAGACTTGATTACGTTTGCCTGGTTAATACTTTTTAATGAAAAGGAAACAACACATGAAAAGATCTCTCTAACTCTCCACTAGTTAGCAATGTCTGGCATTACAATGAATGCTATTATTTTCTGTTCACTTTTTCATGTCTTTCTCTGGCATTCTGGTAGTGCATAAATTATCCATTAAGAAATGCAGGTGCTTTACTGAAAATGCATGAAATGAAGCCTCTAGATAACACATCAGGAAAGTCTCTTTAAAATATTTTTATTGTGTTCCACATCATTTTTCTGTACAAAACAATATATACTCATTTGGAAAATACAAAAATTGGAAAATCAGAGAACTATGGGAAAACAAAGAAAAATGTCATTGAATTCTTCTTTTCGGGTAATAAATGTTGATATTTTACTGCAACAGAAACATATTTCGATGGACTCCCTGGGCTGCAGCCTGCCAGGCTTCTCTGTCCATGGGATTTCCCAGGCAAGAATACTGGAGTGGGTGCTATTTCCTTCTCCAGGGGATGTTCCTGACCTAGGGATTGAACCCAGGTGTCCTGTATTGCAGGCGGATTCTTTACCACTGAGCCACCTGGGAAGCTGGGAGAGCTGCTATGTTCATCTTAACCAAGTGCATATAACTCTGACGCCTCTCAACAAAGCCGAACCATTCATAGTAAAAGTTTAAGGGTGATCAGTAGCATTGAACTTGGTCCATGTGGGGCTGGATGGAGCTCTGCTGTAGACCTGCTCTCATTGACCTGATAATTGGGAAAGCCACTTTTGGAGCTGTTATTGCTGTTGCTGCATCAGAGACCTGCTATAAGCGAAATAAATAACTAGGCTTCAGCAACAAGTCTGGACACGGTGCCAGAAAATTAGCTGTGCTGATCCCTGCATTTCTCCATGACCTGAGGAAAGGGCCCTCCTCTATTTATTCACCTTGGAATCGCCAACAAACCACTGGCCCTGGAACATGGCAGGTGCTCAACAAACATTTGTGGAAGTGAGCTAAAGGCTTGGGTTCAAATTCCTACCTTCTCACTTATTGGTAGATGTTCCCATCCACTTCTCCGGCTTTGAGCCCTGTCTTTGAGCTAATGGCTTTCAGATTTCAATCACTAACAATGTCTTCTCTCCAAAACTCCAGATCCCCCTCAGTAACTGCTTACTGGACTTGTCCAAGTGGGTGTTCCATAGGTAGTCCCAAATAAGGATGTTTCCTCCTGTACTCATCAGTTATTGTTGTTGTTGTTCAGCTACCCAGTTGTGTCTGACTCTTTGCCATCCCATGGTCTGCAACACGCCAGGCCTACCTGTTTCTCACCATCTCCCGAAGTTTGCCCAAGTTCAGGTCCATTGCATTGGTGATGCCATCCAGCCATCTCATCCTCTGATGCCCTTTTCTCCTTCTGCCCTCATTCTTTCCCAGCATCAGGGACTTTTCCAATGAGAGAGCTGTTTGCACTAGATGACCAAAATACTGGAGTTTCAGCTTCAGCATCAGTCTTTCCAAAGAGTATTCAGGGTTGATTTCCCTTAAAATTGACTGGTTTAATCTTCCTGCTGTCCAAGGGACTCTTAGAAGTCTTCTCTAGCATCACAGTTCAAAGGCATCAATTCTTCAGTGCTCTGCCCTCTTCACTGTCCAGCTCTCACAACCGTACGTACTCATCAGATTCCCTCCCAAATCTGCTCCTTCTCCCACAAACTCTGACCTCCTTACTGTCATCACCCTTGAGGTACCCAAGTGAGAAACTAAAAGCATCTCTACTCCTTTGCCTTGCACTTTTGTCTTCTGTAGATTAGCTCATGAAATCCTGCTGACTCTAGTTTAAAAATGTCCCCAATTCGTCCTGTCATTTCCATTCTCACAGCTTCTGTGTCAGACCTTCATTAAATCTTACCTAGACTACTGCATCAATCTCCTGGTCTCTGCCTCCAATCTTCCTGTTTCAAAACCTCTTCTGTGTGGCCATAACCGAAAGCATCTATTTAAGCTCAGCCATAATTATGCCACTTCCCTCCTTCAAAGCACTCAAAGGCTCCTCAGTTCCCTAAGAATCCTAATTCTTAGACAATTCAGACAACCTATCGCTATCTGGCTCCACCTTCCCTTTCTGGTCTCATTTCTTACAAAACTCACCTTCTCACCCTAAATCCTGGAGGAGAAAATGGCAACCCACTCCAGTATTCTTGCCTGGAAATCCCCATGGATGGAGGAGCTGGGTGGGCTACAGTCCATGGGGTCACAAAAAGTCAGACACAACTTAACAACTGAATAACAAAAACAGCACCCTAAATAGGTGTCACTTTCTCTGGTCACACAATTTTCTACTCTTCCCCTAATTTCTCCTTTGCATAGGGTTGGCCCAGGATCTCCTAACTTCTTATTGATGATGCTCTGATCCTGTATTCAGAGTCCAGCCCTTTGGTCACCTCCTCTGAGAACCCTTCCTGGGACCTGCCAGGTAGAATCAAGCCCTCTCTTGATCTTGCCCTCATCCTTGGTCCATGCATCTAGTCCAGCTCTCACCTTCATCAAGTCCTTTTTTGTGTGTGTGTGTGCCTGGTGGGCAGCAGTAACCACAGCAGTGTTTGGGGTGAGAATGAATGAACACCTGAGTGGGGAGTGCTGGGTCTACTCCTGGTGCCACCTCCCTGTCTGTGAACACAGCCCCAGGCTCTGGGTCTCCCCTACAGCCTCAGCCTCCTCCACACCCACCTCCTGTGCGGTGACCCCCAGGCTCACCCTGTGAAAGAACGGCCTCAGGGGCTTGTTTCCCAGGCAGACGCCCTCTTCCTCCTGCAGAAGACTGATTCGGTATCAATGCCCGCTGGACAAATTAGATTTGCTCAGGAAGACACAGCCATAAAGACAGATGCTGGGGCAAAGGGACTCTTGTCTGGAGGAAGGAGTGAATGGAGCTTCTTTATATTCTGAGATCCAATGAGATGTGACAGAAAGACCTCATTTCACATGATTAGACCTACGCAGGGCCCTGGTGGGGGCACACAAAGACGAGTTAAAGATATTCTCTAAGTTCTACTCAAACTTCGGGAAATGGTTGAGTCAGTCCTAAATTACAGTACTTGAGGAAGTCTTCCCAGCATCTCAGCGCTAGACTGGACTCTCCTCCCATAAATTCAGGTTTATCCTCAACAGAGATTTTCATTCAGTGTGGTAGAATCGCTGGAATGCTTGCTTGTCCACCTCTCTTATTAGACAGTAAGTTGAGGCTCGTGGTAAAGAACCTGCCTGCCAATGCAGGAGACATAAGAGACGAGGGTTCGATCCCTGGGTCCAGAAGATCCCCTGGAGAAGGAAATGGCAACCCACTCCAGTATTCTTGCCTGGAGAATCCCATGGACAGAGGAGCCTGGTGGACTACGGTCCACAGGGTTCCAAAGAGTCGGATTCGACTGAAAGACACGCACAGGCTAGCCAAGGGCAGGGCTTATGTTTATTCATTCTACTTTTCTCAGAATTTAGCTCTCTGCCTGTCCCCTAGTAGATGTTTTGGAAATAGTTGTACGATTAAACTGAATGGGAAAGCCCTCCTTTCATACCTTGTACAAAACGAGCCACACCTAACTCTCAAATATCTCCAGATTGAACACACGGAGGTGTTCCAGGACTCGAGGGGCTCAGCCTCTGGGGAGGCAGGGGAGGAGAGGACCCCTGGGTCGCTTCGGTTCCCCACCCTCACCCCCGCTCTGTACACTCCCCCGTGGTCTGCCGTGCCAGAGAAGCAAGCAGAACGAAGTGATGAAATCCACAGGGGATTCACGAAGCCACTGTGGGAAAATGACACGATGACCAGTGGGATTTCCGCATGGAAGGGAATCCAGGCGAAGGAAAGGCTGAGCAGGGGAGATTCACGGAATAATCTAGAAGGGAAAAAACAGAAAGCAAGGATAGGAGACGGTGATTGGCATCTGACTCCTGCTTGGGGGCGGGGCATAGGAGTAGGGATCAGAGATCGGGTGCTGCCCCACGACCCAGGGCCCCAGGTGGGGAGCCGGGGGAAGAGATGCATGCCTCGCTTCAACCCGTGCGCGGAGGTGTGGTGCCTCGGGCGACCTGCGCGCCCTGGCTCCCACCTCGGGCCTGACCCAGCACCCTCGATGGACGCTTCCCTGCGTCCTGGCACTGTCCCCGCGCCAGTGTCCCTTGGCAGTGTGTGTCCCACCCCCCACGGTGTCCAGGCAGGGGCAGGCCCAGCCCCAGGCGTGGAGCGGCGGACCCCAGGGAGATGAGTAAACCCTTGGCCGCGAACGGGCGCGGCCGGGCGGGAGCGTGCCAAGTCCTGGGATGCTGTAATGCACCCGCCCGGAGCGTCTGGGGTAGTGCCCGAGGGCCGGGAGGGGCTCGGCGCGGGATAAAAGGGCCGCGCGGCCCCGGGGCCGTTTTCTCGGCGCGGTGGCCGCAGCTCTGCGCTCCTCGCCGGCGGGGACCTGAGCGGCGTCCAGGGGTCCCGGGCGGACCAAGTCGGGGCGCCGGCGCCTCCCCGGGGGCCATCAACAGCGAAGCCCGGCCATGGCGGGGCTGGAGAGCGCGCCCGCGGCCAGGCCGAGCCTGACCTCCATCTCGTCGGGGGAGCTGCGCAGCCTGTGGACGTGCGACTGCGAGCTGGCCCTGCTGCCCCTGGGCCAGCTGCTGCGGCTGCAGCCCGGCGCGTTCCAGCTGCGCGGCGACCAGCTCGTGGTGCCCGCGCCCGCGGAGCCCGCCGCCGCGCGCGGGGGCTTCAACGTCTTCGGAGACGGGTTCGTGCGCCTCGACGGGCAGCTCTACAGTCTGAGCAGCTACATGAAGAGGTGGGTGGCCTCGCCGCGCACCCCGGCCCGCCGCCTGGTTCCCGCCGAGGCCTCCACGCTGCCCACCCCCATCCCCATCCCCATGCCTCACTTCCAGAGATCCAGCCTGGACCCCCCACCTCCCATCACACTTCTAGATTTTTCTCATTGCTAACATCACCCAGAGGTGTGGAGCTCCCCCTGCCCTGTCTTTTTCTGCTCTTTGCACCGACATTTCACAGCTGTCCAAGCCGCCCGTGAGGGGGGTGCGGGGTGGGCAGGGAGGGGAGCGCGGAACTGGCTGATGATTCTTATTTTCTGGCTCCTTAACCGGGTCAAATGAGTTCAAACTGGGGGCACACCCTTGCTAAGACTCACACCCTGGCTTTAGCCTGGGGCGAGGAGGGGCGGGGAGAGGTTCTTCTCTTCTGTGCTATCAGCTAGAGAGGAGACCCGGTGAGAGCAAGCAGAAGTTTCCAGTTCCCCATCTTTAGCCTCACTGCCTTTTCAAACAAAAAAATTAATAAATCGTGTCTGGTAAGAACCAAAGCCCGTGAAGTCCAACCCTGGGGCCATGTGGGCTGTCGAGTGGGCAGGTCCGTTCTGGGAAGACGAGTGCAGTGAGTGTGGCTTCCGGGAGCAGAGCTGGGGCCAAAACAACTTGATGGAGGGTCACAGAATGTTTACGTGGGGTGGAAAAGTGCCTGGAGCCCTTCCTAGGGGACTTGAAGGCAGCAGGATTGAAGCCCATCTGAGGCGGGCTTTGGGAGGGCAAAGGAGCAGGGAGCTTCACCCTGGGTTCTGCTGGGGTCTCTTGCTTCCAGAGGTCACCCGGTGCCTCTAGAGGTCACCTGCGGGGTGGGGAGTTTGTGCTATGGAGCTGGGTATCAGGAAGCGGGACAGGTTGATTCTGAGATGAGTGAGCAGGCAGCTATTAAGCTAGAAAGCCTTTGCTCCAGGGAGAGACAGCAGCCCTGGGCACCCTATGGGTGGAATAAAGTCAAGAGGAGCAAGCAAACTAAAGGAGATATTTAAAATGCCTTCTTCAAAGCTCCTGGGGAACACCTTGCTTTTCCACTCAAAAGATAGTGAGGGCTTTCACTGAGCGCCTGATACAGGATTCCCCAGCAAAAATCTCTCCCTTTCTGAGTGAATTGAAAATTCCAAGCCATAAGCAGGGGATGGTGGTAGGAACTGAGTTAGAAATCAGATTTGCAGAGATTTTAAAAAGAAGATAAGCATTGTATTTGAGAACAGAGTATGAAAAATAAAAATGTCCAGAGTTAATTGAAGCTGCAGGTTAGGTCTTAGGCAGTCCTGGCTCCCCTGATCTCAGCCAACAGCGCTGCAAAACTTGAACTGGTTTTGAAGTCTGGTTGTTTAACTCCTGCTTTGAACACCTCCTCCATAAGGGAAAATTAAACAGCAGTGGTTCCCCCAGCAGTTTGGAGTCCAGAATAAACAATAACAAGGTGACAGAGACCAGGGTGCAAAGAAGAATCAGCAAATACAAGGTTCTTATGGGCTAAGCAATAGCGTGCGGACTTTTAGACCGCTTGGCCACGCTACCTCCTAGCGTGAGGGCTTTTGTACGTGGGAATGGCAAGGTGCACCTGAGAATAATTCGAGAGGTGGAACAACCTGCCTTCCTCTTGGGGGACAGACTGTGGCAAGTGGGTGTGCAGTCCTCTTTCAGGACTGGAAGGAAACCTGGTCTGAACAGAGGGAGCCTTCTAGAAAGAAGGGGAAGACAGTTGTGGATGGCAGTGAGAGGTTTTCCCCTCATGGATCAGGAGTGAGAGGCACAGTCAAAATTCAGGTATCTGAAGTTGCTGCTTCTCAAACTGGCACAGATTTACCCAGTTGTCTTTGGTTTGAAGATAGATGCAGCTTCCTGTCTCAAAATAGTGCTCTTGAGCTATCCTTCACTTCCTTTCTTCCTTCTTCGGTGATTTCTAGCCAACTTAACTGAAGAGGAATTTGCATGATTTACTGTTTCCCAGTAAGTTCTGGCACACTTCTAAAGATCCCAGATTCAAGCTCAGAATTCCCGCCCATGTTACAAATGAAATTTGCTCAGGGTACCAGGTGTAAATTACCATTAACTATCACACACACATACACACACCTTTCCCTTTTTTCTTGTAATGCAGCCTGTTAGTGGGATGTAATGGCCAACATTTGACAAAGAGGAGCTCTAATCCCTTGTTTTCAGCGGTCCTCTAGCATGTAAGAGGCTGCTTGGAAAAAAAGCAAATACATTTTTCTTTAATGTTTACCTGAGTCTCAGCATTGGTGCAAAGTATTTCACAGCTATTGTCTCACAGAAGCTGGCAAAGTTGGTGCCATTGTTTGTTTCCCATTTTTACAGATGAGAAAATTAGGACTCAGGGAGATTAAGCAATTTCCCCGGGTGAGATGCCGGTGAACTGCAGGGTCAGGGCCTCTCTGCAGAGTTGTCTAACTACAGCCCAGGCTGTCAGCTAGCTGCTTCCCACCTGGAATAATTCTGGCTTCCTCTAGGACACAGCGGCATGCTCATAGATTTCCTGAACCTCAAATAAATGCCTGGGATTACATCAGCCAGTACACATATAATCAGCCTAAGAGAGAAAGTAAGTCCAGTGGTTTGAAGGAAGTCACTGGAAGTAGCACTGTGACCTGCTTCTGCTCAGATCTGAGCATCTCTTAGCTGGGTGATGGCCTCGGCCCCTTGAGTTGAGCCTCCTGGGGCAGGACGTGCAGGGGAGGCGGGGAGGAGACACATGGGGGTAAAGACTCGGGGGAGGATGCGTCAGGGTTGGATCATACTTAGATTGTCACTGGGTGGAGCGTCAGTTCTGTCCTTGGTGGGTGGGAGGTGCCTGGGCCCTGTCTGCGGCCCAGTCCCGCTTCTCAGAAGCATCCCCGCATGGAGCCTGGCCACCCTTACTGTTGTGCTCAGTGGGCTTCTGACACAACCAATCCTCTGCTCTGGCCCTAGGTCTGAGCCTTGGATTTAATGACCTGCCCAGGATAGCAGCCCCTTAAACAGAATGCATAGTGGTATTGATGAAGTAATAACCTCTCATGTGCTGAACTATGATTTTTATGGAATTCCATTCAGGGTAAGTGTGGACACCTGATGCAAAGAAAAGACCGTGATGCTGGGAAAGATTGAAGGCAGGAGGAGAGGGGGTGATAGAAGACGAGATGGTTGGATGGCATCACTGACTCAGTGGATGTGAGTTTGAACAAACTCTAGGAGACAGTGAAGGACAGGGAAGCCTGGCGTGGTGCAGCCCATGGTGTCACAAAGAGTCAGACACAACTGAACGGCTGAACAACAAAGTGTGGACAAGCATGAGCGCTGAGACCAGGCTGCCTTGGTTTGTACCCTAGTCCCACAGCTTACTAGCTGAGTGACTGGGGAAAGTTACTTCATTTCTGTGACTCAGTCTCCTCAGCTGTAAACTGGGAATAATAATGCCAACAACTTTATAAGTTGTTCAGAATTAAAATCTGTTAAGTCCTCAAGATAGTCAGTGGCATATCTTTATCACAAGACCAATGTCAGCTTTTGTTCTCATCAAGCAGCCCCAGCGCCAAATGCTTCACATACTATTTAACCTTTCAGCTTCCTCATGGGGCACCTCTTGTCAGCCAGATTTTATAGGTGAGAATATGCACCTCGACAAGGTTAAAATACTTGCTGAAGTCACAGAGGCAGAAATCAAACCCAGATGGGGTGATTCAAAAGTCGTGAGCCACAGAACTTCCCTGGTGGTCCAGTAACTAAGACTCTGAGCTCCCAATGCAGGGGGCCTGGGTTCAATCCCTGGTCAGGGAACTAGATCCCATGTGCCTCAACTAAGAGTATGCATGCTGTAATACTTTTTAAGACCGGATGCAATTAAAAAAACAAAACCCACGAGCCATTGATGCTTCCTTCCTCCGGAGCTTGGCTTTGTCCTTCCAGCCACACTCCAGTCCTTGCAAACACACACCTGCAGGCCTGGATGCAGCTACCCACAGTCCCCAAGGCTTAGCTAAGCCATGATTCCCTGCCCCACCCCGGCCCCCGTCTCCTCCTTCTGCCCACCCATTGGCAGTCTATTTGGCCTGACAGAACAACCCTTCTGCTACACCTGACTCAGCTCAGTAAATGGTTCTAACTCCAGGCCTCTTGGCTTTGCTTCTTCCTATTTACATTGCTAGGACATAGCCCTGTGGACACAAGGAAGCCGAGCATCTGTGTGTGTTTGAATGATTAACTAGTTTGTAAGCCTCTGAGTAACAGGGATTGTGTCCTAGGCCAGCGCTTCTCAAACTTTTAATAAGCTTGCAAGTCTCCCAAGGAGCTTGTTAAAACACAGATTTCAGATCAGATACAACTGAAGAGGGACCCAGAATTTTGCAGTTTTACAAGCTCCCCTGTGATGTCAGTGCTGTAAGTCCAAAAATCAGACTATAAGCAATGAGGTCTTAGTTGTGAATCCTTTCATATTGAAATGGTATGTTTTCTTAGCCCTCTCCTAAGGGCTTTTGTATGCTTCTAGAAAGCAAGACTATTTTTTTTGTTAGGGCCCCAGTGCCAAGCACATAGTAGGTGCTTTGTGGTTCAGTAACCAAGTTGTGTCCGACTCCTGTGGACTGCAGTACACCAGCCTTCACTGTCCCTCACCGTCTCCTGGAGTTTGCTCAAACTCATGTTCATTGAATTGGTGATGCCATCCAACCATCTCATCCTCTGTTGCCCTCTTCTCCTTCTGCTGTCAATCTTCCCCAGCATCAGGATCTTTTCCAGTGAGTTAGCTCTTTGCATCAGGTGGCCAAAGTATGGAGCTTCAGCCTCAGGATCAGTCCTTCCAAAGAGTATTCAGGGTTGATTTCCTTTAAGACTGACTGGTTTAATCTCCTTGCTATCCAAAGGACTCTGAAGAGTCTTCTCCAACACCACAGTTCAGAAACATCAATTCTTCAGCACTCTGCCTTCTTTACTGTCCAGTTCTCATATCTGTACATGACTACTGGAAAGACCA